GAGGTTCGGATTGGACCTATTTCTAGGTGCAAAGCCTCGGCCTCGACCTCTCCCTATGCGAGGTCCCTGCTGGGCCTGTATCTGATGTGGGTCAGCAATAGGGTTGACATCCTCATATGCCAAGGTAGGAACCGCGTTCAGAGTTGTGGTGGCCAGTGCTTGTCCAGAGTTCTCATTTCCGGTTTGGTTCAGCTGGTAGTCCATGAGGTGGAAGGTCGGACCCCCACCTCGCTGCCTTTGAGGAGGTGGGAGGCCTCTGCTTACCCTGTTCCTATGCTCAATCAATTCTTCATTGATTATCTCCCTTCTCATCATCTCTAGTAGGGCATCATAGGTGGTGGGTCTTGATTCTGCACATCCCTCCAGAATAGGGTGTTCATGTTCAGGCCTCCCCTCAATGCAGATAGTGCTTCTCTATCAGTGACTTGTACGCAGTAAGTCATCTCGTCGGTGAAGTGTGATAGGAAGCTCTTTAAGGACTCCCCATGTGCCTGTCTCATGTCTTGGAGACGCTGGATGGGGGCCTCTCCTTCCTTGCTCATTGCGAATCGCTTCAAGAATGTCGTCTTGAAATCGGGCCAGCTTCGGATGCTCCCAGGTGGCAACCTGCTATACCAGATTTCAGCCGCTCCACTGAGGGTTAAGTGGAAAGCCCTGCACTTCACGGCTGGGGTGGCACCCCTCAGGCTCATGTGAGTTTTGTAAGCGTTGAGGTGCTTTTCCGGGTCGCCTCTCCCGTCATACTTTGGTATTTTTGGCATGACGTAGTAGCTCGGGACCTGGGCATTCCTTAGTTCTCTTGAGAATGGCAGGTTCTCATCATCATCGTCCAGGTCACAGGACCTCTGCTGCTCATCAGAATCGTAGTCATCGGCCTCGTACCTTGGTTGTTGGTGAGAGGGTCCGAGCCGGTTCCTAGTCTCTTCCTCCCTCCTTTGCGGGGCAGCGCGGGGGGCATTTTCATGCCTTCTCTCCGGCTGCTGGGGCATTGGAGGTGGAGGTCGTGGCCTCGTCCGAGGCTGCTGAGCCTGCTGTTGACTGAGCCTCGGTTCGACGGGGCTGATTCTGTTAAAAACACTGCCAGCTCTCCTATGTCTTGGATCTTGCTCATATGGAGGTGGAAAATCATCATGGCTCCTTTGGGCCTCAGTGGGTCGGCCAGAAGCATAGTTGGAGGAAATTTTGACTCCCACTTCCCTCTCGAATGGGCTTCCACCTCGACCATAGTCTGGCAAGGCAGCCCTATGACTCTGAACCTCGTCCTCTTGCTGATAGTGCCCGTGGGGGGCATATGGAGGAATGGGGAAGCCTCTCCGGCCTTGCTCATGGCCAAGTTTTGGTTGGCAATATCCCTCATGTTGGCTGCCATGGTAGCCATTTCTCTGGACATTCGTGTTGTCGCACGCATTCTACCTCTCCTTTGGTGGTGGTGGAGCCTCGGCCGAGCTGCTGGGGCAGCAGGCTGGGGAGGCACATTCGTGCTTTCTCTTACCCTCCTGGGGGAAATATCTTCGTTAGAACTCATTTTTCTTTTATCAAACTCAGATTTGTCCAAGTGATAGGGGTTCCTCCTGTTCTTTTTCAAGAACAAATCCTTTTTCAAGGGGGTTGCCCAAATGTTTTTCAGTAAGCTTTTAACACAAGGTTGCTCGTGGTTATGGTATAGTTTTCCACAGACGGCGTCAATCTGTTGACCCCAAAAAGTGTGCCAACAGATGCAGGTCCCACCCGCACTTGCCTGGGCGAATGTCCAACACACTAAGACACGTGGACAGTCTAAAACGAGCGGTTCAAAGGGCGTGGGAGTAGCCCAACGATGAGGGACGGTGACGTTCGGAATCCGACGGGTTGCTCGTAGTCCGATTGTACAATAATTACCAACCGGTGTTCACAAATGTATATGTATATGTGCATAAACTCGATTTGTGTATTGTGAGTAAAATGAGAGAGTTGAGTAAATGTAGTTCTTAGTATTGATTCTTGCATTAGCCTTTTGATATTACACAAGGAAGTATTTATAGTAGTACATATGAAATGGGAGCCCCTGGATGAAGTGGCACGTGGCCTCATCTCTTTAGTTCAAACATCTTTTCCTAGGTATGGGGCTTGACTTGCTAGCTTACAGCGCATTTATTGCTTGTGCAGGGCCTCCATGCTAGTGACAAGACTTGACCTTTATGCTTATGACAAACGTTCCAATAATCATTCGAATAAGATCTGTGCATGCGATCTCTTGGGAGAAGTAACCATGGAGGATGTTTCTTTGTGGTTCAGAGGCTCGCGCATCAGCTTCGGCCATTTGTCATGATACTTCCACTTAAGGGCCTCAGCTACTCTCAACAGGTTCCAGCAGCCTGGCTTCGGTTCGTAGGCCTCTGTCAATGGGCCTCGGACAAAAAGAAGCCTCGACAGATGGACTTCGGCTCGAAGCAGTTAGGATGTAGCCCACCTCGACATTGTGTGCCACCTCGACAGGAATGCCACGTGGATCGTAATGAGTGGGCCATTGTCCCAAGTAGGTTGGCCAGATGTGACAACACGCAACATAAGGCATGATCAATAACAACCATGAGGATTTCGCTTTATGCCCATAGCAACCGCCGCAGAGTATGCTTGGAATAGGTATACTAATATTTCGGTTTACGAACTAATGTAGCAAGAGTCCAAGTGGTGGTCCGGAGGATATAAAGATTTTGCGTGCAAGAACTCAAGCTCCCCGCACTTCCAATATCATATTAGAACAACTAGGTGTTGTATCTTCTTACTTCTTAGGATAAGTCTCGAGTAAATGGAGCCACCTCCTTTGAAACCCAAAAACTTCAGTGAGTCACCACCCAAACCACCAGACCACCATACCATTGGAAAGAGCTCATCAACCTCGACAAGTCCCACCCAACAAACTACTGCAAACACACAAGAAATCGCCAGAATTTTGAGCTAAAACCAGCCACAAACGCACCAGAATCTAGTCGAAAACAGCAACCCCCCAAGCCATGCCCACCCTACAGGTCAATCAAGCTCATCAGGGCGCACCTACAGATGCCCTTTTTACAACAAACGAAGCTGAAAAGTCCAGATTTGCAGAAATCCGTCTCAAAGGCACAGTCGAACGACTCAAATATTAATTTCGACGTTGACGAGGCACTTCACGATCGCGGACCACCCAAAGAAGCTTCCTCTCATCATGGTGATCAATTCCACATATGGGTTATCGTCAATTTGGCACAGTTATTACAGATCGAACTGGACAAGTTCTTCCTCGCGAGGCTTACAATCGGCTTCCAATTGAACCTTCAATTATGCTTCAATCTACAATTCCAGATGGGAAAATTGAAATTCAATCTCAAAAACCGTTGGGTAATCACTTAATTGCAGAAATTACATCACTTATCTACCGAATTTTGGAATCAATTGAAATTCTTCAAAACATAAATGCTGCTGGTCCGAATTCTTTAATATCTGGGCAAAACTTGGCCAAATTGACACTTCCATTGGATTCAGAGGGCCCAATAACTATAGAAAGGACCTCCAATTTGGACAAAAATATTGAATTGGATTTTGTGCCGAAATGCACGTGTACCGAGGCTACGGTGCATTCTATTTCTGGGCAGATTTCAACCATATTGACACCTCCAGTGATTCCAGAAAACCTGAAACCCTTGGAGAGACATCCACTCTACCCAAATCCGTCGAAAATTTTACATTGGAATTCGAGCCAAATGGCACAAATAACGAGGCAGCAAAATCAGCATTTTCTGGGCAGACTCATCAGCTGGGGACATTACCAAGGATGATAGAACATGCAAAAAATGCGGGAAGTGTTCCTATGGTCCCAAAGCGTGGAAAAACCCCTGGGTTTACTAAGGTAGCACCTAGTAAGTCTCAGGATACATGTCCCACAGATGAGCGTATTCTCCCAACGCGAAGGCAACCACTACCACCCTGTGCAACACCACGGGCTACTACAACTACATTTACTGGTTTGAAGTCTTATGCTGCAGCAGTAGGCAATGTGCCAATTATTTCTTAGGCGGAGAGGAGTAAAAAAAAGTCCTTTGCCAAGATCCTTAGAGCATCACATGAGTCCACTGAGCACACGCTCGTAACCAAGGAGCCTTTTATTCACCATGGTGAACCTACAGTTCTATTCATGGAGGCAGATGAGGATATTTTTGCTGAGCCATACAAGTTTACACTTGTTGGCAAATTTGTGCACCGCAGGCCATCTATGATTAATGTACATGATAGTTTTTCACAATTTGGATTTTGTGGCGATTATACTCTTGGTTTAATTGATAATACACACATTTTGATTCATTTGGAGCATGAGGATGACTATGCACGGCTATTCCTCAAACCTATATGGTATATTGATTGTTCTCCTGTGAGAGTCTTTAAATGGACTCTGAGCTTTAGTCCATAGCATGAAACCTCCATTGCGCCAGTTTGGGTATCTTTTCCTTTATTGTCCATTCATTTTTGGGCTAGGAACAATCTTTATGCTATTGCCAAGGCTATTGGCATACCTCTTCGCATTGATGAGGCGATTTCTGATCTTCGTCATTTTAGTGGAGCTGGAGTTTGTGTTGAGGTTAATTTAGATTATGATCTCCCTGAGAGAATTTGGATGGAAACAAAGAAGCTCGATGGATACTGGCTGACAGGCTGTCTTGTATGACAAGAAATCAGAATTTTCCTATAGATGCAGACATTTTGGGCACATAGATGATCATTGTATGCTTGGGGCACGACCAGTAGCACCTCCTCCTGTCCCCGTTGGTGACCCTATTCCTCGACATGTTACCTTAACTAAGGATAATGGTAAGGGGAAGGTTGTTGAGGCTGAACCGCGTCAGAGGTAGACCCCTGTTCGTAGAGATCAGAGAAAACAACAGAATGCCACCCTCCTATAGTTAGTATTGCTAGACTAGCTCTTAGTTCAATTGCTTCTCATAGCAGTGTTACTCAGGTTCTGCTCCAGAGTTCTGTAGATCCACCCTTTAGTACTTNAATAAATCAGGTACCTTTATACCAGTAGAGAACTGGCAATAGAATTCTGAATCATCCTGAGGAAATGACATTTGCAATTTCAAATTAGTGGACAGGAATTTTCAACTCTGCTGTTTTAGTACTAAGTTAAGTTTCTAAAATAAAACTTGAGCAGAACCTTCGCAACCTGCTAATAATTTATAAAGAAATGAAAATAAAAAAGAGAAAAAAATTGAAGAAATAGATAGTACCTGGAAAATCTCAGGATTCCCAATCAGTCCTAAAGAATTTTGCCTTTCATGATGGGCATCTGAGAATATCCATCTGTGGGATTTAGTGAATGCAGCTTGGCCAACTATCCTGTATAAGACAAATATATATCATTCTTAGCCCTGTCGAACGGATTAAGGATTAAGCCCCAATTCCTAAATACGGGAGCAAAAGTAGATGAAATGAAATTAGAAAAAATACACATACAAACACAGATTTATAGTGGTTCAACGAGATGGAACAATATTGTGGGCTTACCCTTCACCAAATACGTGCACTTGCAGAAGCATATTCTCAATCACATCTCCCATTTGTTCTTCATAGTATGAATCTTGAAATGTCAACAATCTGGTATGCCAAAAGATTTCAGGCCAAATGAACAAAATTTTTTAGTTTTATAATTTTTTTAACAAGATTTAATCATGAGAAAAGGTAGCTAAACAGAAAATGATGAATCCTTTTCTTAAAAACAACATAAACATTAATGCAAATATTTCCTACATAGGTAGAATAGAGCATAATAAAGAGAGAGAGAGAGAGAGAGGCTTACAAGAAATTTTTCGGATCAAAGCCCCAGAAAATCCCATAAGACCATCCATTACTGCAACAAAAACTTTTGAGGATCTTCCTTATCATTGAACTACCCTCTTCTGAACCCATTTTGTGGAAAAAAAAATATGAAAAGAAATCCAAGAAACAAGTTTGTTTTCCTTTTGTTGTCAACAAACAAGTTTTGAGATCACGAAACACACAAAAGTACAATTCTTTACTGGCTGTATTGTGTTGTACTAGGTGACGTGAAGAGATGTGTCTGTCTGAACCTAAAGGGCCAAAAGCTTGAAGAGGAGTTCTCAGTAAACACACAAAATCAGTAATGGGAAAAATATAATGCGGTTAAATAACAGGAAGACAAGAAAGATAACCAAGAGAATTTAGAGTGGATTTAATGTGTAGATATATATTTAACATAAAATATATATTGATGAGATTGGGTTGGTTTGGGTAGGGTGGGGGTGGGGGTGGGAGTGGGAACAAGAGGGGTTTGTTTTGTCTACGCAATGAAGGACCAAAATCAAATAAAAGTCCTATCTTGAAGGGAACAGAGCTTTTCCTCATTAATGCTTTAAATCCTTGTACTTTTCATCTGTCTTTATGCCTATGATATCTTTGTATAAAATTTTCAAAAAGGGTCCCATACTCCCATTTGTAATTTAGAGCATTCTCCAATATGCTCTCAATTAAAAGAATATATTCTATCGTTTAAAAAGTATTTATAAATATAGAGAGTTAAAATTTTGAAGTATTTCAACAAACTCTTTATAATTAACACTTAATTTTATTACTCACAAAAAAAATTATTATTTTTCTCTATCTTTTATTTTAAGTAGCTTTTCTTTATATTATTTTAGTATTTTTTTACATTAAAAATTGAAACACTTTGAATGCATTTAATTATTGAGAATAGATTTGGCTCTACAATTAAATTAAAATATTAATTTAAAGGGTAGATTCTTTTAAGTAGAGAGTATCTTATATTTAAAGAGTTTTTTAAAGGTGTTCTTAGTATGAGATTAGACGAAAGAAAAAGAAATACGTCATATTATTATTATTATTATTATTATTATTATTATTATTATTATCCTTTTAATTTTTTTTCTTCTTCAAACATTTTGTGAAAAAAATACGATTTATGTGAAGACCAAGTAATAATATTAACAAGAAGAAGAATAAGTTTCTTAATTATTTCTAGGATATATCATTAACAACACAATAAAAAAATATAGAGTAATAATAATTTGCTTCTTAACTATTTCTATTATACAATTAAGTTGGAATGAATACTAGCTGAAAATATCAGTAAAGTAATTAATCACAATCATTTGCTTTAAAGAGTATTTATGCCTCTCAATAACAATTATAATAATAAATGATAAACTAATTTTTTTTTGGGTGGGTGGGTGGGGGGTGTTTATAAACAAATAATTTGGCTCTTAACTAATGGTTTATCTGATTGTCTGATTCTGTATTTTTCTCGTTTATCTCAAATTTTTAGTGTTGCGGTAAAATTCTCATAAGAAATGAGAACTTTGATCGACTTTAAACCTAATCTTATCCCATCTTTAAAATAGTGTTGACAAAAAAAAAAAGTAGATTAACATTGAATAATTTTTAAAGAGAACTATCTTAAAACAATTTTTAGAGAGGTCAAAAAGTGTGGAAATATTTGTAAAACTAATGTTCTAAACCAACCCAACATGTAATTTGATGAAAACTATCCAATGTCACCAATCAATATGATGTCCCTTTAAAAAGTTTTCAACAGCAAGCCTGCAAAAATTTGAGTAGTGGCAAAAACATTATGGGAAATGTCATTTTCATCAATTATTACCATCTACAATTACCTCAAATATTTATAAATTACAATAAGAATTTCTCTTTCATCAACTAGATCACTGAACTCTCGTGATAGAGATTCATGCTCTCAAACAGTTCTCAAAGTCTTCATCTCCATAATCTGATTTTTTACCCCATTTCAGAAAAGTCTAAATCAATACAATATCTTCACCTTAAGAATATTAGAGGCACAACTGAAATGCTTGAATCCATCTTTAGATGTAATGAAAATGATGTTCCATCTTTATCTCTAATGGCCTGTACAAAACTTCGGATGGATTCAATATATGAAAGTTTAGCTCTTACAGTTTTGAATGATTTTCTCAACTCTAAACCTCAAGCCATTACACAAATATCCAAAACCATAATAAATATCCATCACTGTGAATACGAACAAAACTACCACGTATAAGTTCAAGTAAGAGACCACTCTTAAAAGAACAACGAGATCAAGTATAGTGAAGTCTTTAATATTATCTTAATATCAAATAGGAGGTCAGTACTTCTAGTTTACAATAGTATGTTGTATGTACTAGTCATATAAACCTCCACTCTATCTTCATTATTTGTATATATCTATCTTGTATCAAGTCAAACACTCGACAATAGACTAAAAATATTTTTTTGATAACTTATAAAGTGGGTTTCCAACTCTTGAATTTGCTATCTACAAAAGATAAGATTCAATATGTATAGTGTTTGACACATAAACAACACTAAGAGGAACATATTTAAGTGCAATATCTTTTCGCCTAACTACTTTCGAGCTAAGAGACTCAAACCTTGGTTATAACACGGTTTGGATTTGGAACTTCATTTACTCTATATTGGAGGCATTTGGATTTGATCACATTTGGATTGATAGGATCAGGAGATGCATTTTGGAGTGCCATTTCTCTAATATCCTATATGACCGTCCATATGGTTTCTTTCACTCCTCATGAGGACTCAGACAGGGTGATCCCATTTCGTCATCCTTGTTCATAATAGCTGCAAATTACTTCTCATGCCTGCTCACACAAAAGTTCTAGAAATATCCCAGTATGTGTTACTGGCATAGAGGTAGTACTCTAGTCTTAAATCTCTAATTGCTGATGATGTAATTATTTTTGCCAATGGCCGAAAACAGCCTATCAAGAGGGTTTTAGATAGTTTGGAGCATTACAAAGGGGTATCTAGCCTGTTGGTGAATAGAGACAATAGCGGTCTTATACTACCCAGACGGACATCCACTAGCCAGATCAGAAGGTTGAAGATTTTAACTAGGTTTAAACATCAGCAGCAGCCATTCACTTCCTTGGAGGGTTCCCTTATTCAAGTGGAATAAAAGGAGCTTCCTTTACGATGACCTTACCCAGAAGATCAGAAGTAGGATCTCAGGTTGGGCTTCACGATTATTATCGCCTAGGGGTTACATTACCTTGATGAGATAAATGCTTTCTTCCATACCATTATATCCACTTCAGATTATGCAGCCACCTAAGGCAATACTAAAAACACTTGAGAGTATCTTTGCACGACTCCTATGGTGTTCTAAGGATCAGGCACAATGCTCCTATTGGAGGAGCTAGAAGAAGATTTGCCTTTTTGCTGATGAGGGTGGTCTAAGCTTTAGGAGATTATAGGATATGGTAAACACCTTCTCCATGAAGCTCTGGTGGCTGTTCTGCTCTTAGAGGTCACTTTGGGCTTAGTTACTACAAGACAAGTATTGCATAGGGATACATCCTTCACTTACAGCTATTTCCCGTTTGGCCTCTCCTACTTGGAAGAGACTAAAATTAGTGGGGCCATGGACAGAGCCATACATTGCTTGGCAACTTAGAGCAGGTCAGATTTTCTTTTGGCATGACATTGGATGGGCGAGTCCAGGATGGTGTCTCTATTCCCACAAAGGCAGCACACATTTATGAGGGTGCATGATTTCTTTGATGACATTGGGTGGGATTTTGGACAACTATTACAGGCTCTTCTTCCTAAGATGGCAGAGCAGATAGGGACAATACTTCTACGAGCGGATGTCTAGGACCACATTGTTTGGAGGATTACATCGGATGGTAGCTTTACTACCAAATCATCATAGTTCAGGATCTGTATCCACTATTATGGAGTCCCATTTTGCCTACCACTGTTTCATTCTTCTACTGGAGATTATGGTAGGACCTTATTCTAGTAGATGTGGTTGTTCAGAGCAAGATTATATGTCAGTAGGTTTCTCGATGTCGATGTTGTTCTGAGATTGAGACTATCAATCATATCTTCATTGGCAACAGCATCTTCGAATAAGTATGGAAGCGTTTTGGGGATATTTTTCAGATTTCTATGTGTTCAGGAAAGGGAGTTAGACAAAGGTTTCAGAGATACTAATATTCTGGTTTTTATGGACCGAGAGAAATGATGCGAAGCATAGGGGGATTCGCATGGTAGCCAGACGTATCGTTTGGAGGGTTTAACACATCATTTATTTTCTTCATATGGAGGGATCTTTTAGAATTGGGCACTGGTCAGGAAATCTAACAATTGTACCATTCTTTGGTATTTCTATAAGTCACCCCTCTCCACCACCACCTATTATAGTTGTTTGGCACACTCCACTGGTGGGATCTTACAAGATCAACACTGATGGATGCGTTAAGGATGGACATGTGAGTGGTGGGGGCATCATTAAGAAAGAACTACATTGGACATTGCATCAGGGCATTCTTAGCATCGTATGCCCCATGCTTGATTCTGGCAGCCTAGCTCAGAGCTATATTGGATGGGATCCTATTGGCCAAAGGATTTAGACTTTCACGCTTTTAGATTGAGTCAGACTCTACTACATCCATTCATTGCATCACCAAAGGAGGAGGACCATGGTTATTCAGGGCTTTCTCAGACAGATCACAAACATCAACTCCTTAGACAAAGATACGATTTCTCACATCTACAGAGAAGGGAACCATGTTGCCGATGCACTTGCCTCAGAGGGTTGAGACCATAGGAGTTATCAGGTTTATAGACCAACTGATCTACTACGACATATTGGGGCACTTGTACAGATTGACAAATATGGTCCACCCAGTGTTAGATTTTGATTTTTCATATTTTATATTTGTTTGCATTAGCTCGCATTGTTAATGGAAGTAGTACTTCCATATTTACTGATTTTAATTTATCTTTTCATTTGTTTAATTGTAAGGGAAGTAGTACTTCCTCATTTAATATTTGCATTGATTGCTATCTCATATGTAACTACGGTATTCCTCCACCACAAGTGAGGGCATATCAATAAAACTAACGAAGGTACCGCTCTCCAACTAAAAAAATATCATATAAAGAGGCATAAAAAGTATATACTATTAAGAGATAGATCTCATATCGGTTAAATACCGAAATATAGACCAACTTATAATGATTTGAGTTATTCCTCTTAACAATGTTAATATTTTAAGATGAAACCTAAGTCTTATTATGATATCAGAGTCCATTAAGCTCAATTGAATAATTCAATCCGATTAAAACTCAAAAAAATGAGCACGCAAATTTCAAAATTGATCTGTTGAAACGAGTCACCATCATCGATTTAATACCGAAATATAGATCAGTTTATAAGGGTTTGAGCTACTGCTGTAAATAAGATTGAGCTTTTAAGATGCAATCCCAAGTCTTAATGTATACTATAGCTTGTTCGGTATTTACAAATAGTTAAGATTGGAATTTTTCTCGTGCGTAACCAGTATTGCTTAACAGCATCTCTTGATTATTACTTACCTACTTGTGATACAAAACAAATACGCTTGGGAGAAAATCACAAACAGTTTTCTTGATTCTGTACACAAAATAACTAAAGAAATTCCAAATAAAAACCTATTCTACGGTTAGCCTTTAGTTACCTGATTTATCAGTTTCAATGACTGAACCTACCATGAAAAAAAATATATAAAAAAGGGAGAGCAAGAAACATTGTTCTCCTTTTACAACTGCTCACAATTCGTCTAACCAAACAAAAATCCTGCCATCGGCCCATCAGCATCGGTTAATCTCATTGCACTAAATCTTTCTCTAATTACAAAAAGTAAGCTGCATAAGTCAGGGTAGACAACAAAACCACCGATATCCCAATCAACTGTTCGGTACTTGACACCTCTCTTGCACATACGTCCCCTTAACCTCTCCTTTATATATTACTCAGATGATGGGAAGTGTACAGTGTAATTAGATTCAAGACGGTCTTAACAATTACAGGCTTGTACGTTGAAGCGAATCGGCTGAGATAATGGGGAGTGAAACGCCAGGTTGACAGTTCTTGAATAGAGAAGCCCCTGGACTGTAACTATTGCCAATTTCATCACTTGCATTCAACCCACTTGGGCCAGGTTTCATTTGGAAAAGCTGAATGAGGGAAGAAAATATTTCGTGGCGCGTGACATGTGAGTTTCCCTGCAAGGCAATTTAAACTTCTGTTGATAAATGGATATGGAAACAGCTAAAATAAACACAAATTTAGAGGGCATTAAATGTTAGAGTTTACCTCAGCCTCGACTATGAAGTGTGCCCAAATCTTGGTTTCTTGAACTTCCATCACTCCCTTCAAGATAGTCAGGCCAAAATTTCGAATTACATCAGTAATTTCCAAAAAGAAACCTTGTTCATCATAGAGGGTCTGCACCAAAAAATAAATGTACGTTAGAACTTAGAAGTGCTTACTGTATGAATTAATGATGTGCATGTTTGGTATGCATTGGTGGACTTGACTACAATGTAATAAACAGGACTTTTACTGGCTAGTAATATTTTTCCTTACCTCTATAAGCATTTGGCCAGGGGAACTTAGGTCCTTAACTATCAGAGGACAAAGCATAGACTGATCGCCAACTTCACATGCCCATGTGACTCCGACATCATGACCATTGGAGTTGTCTATCTGTAGAGAAACCTTCTATTAGCCAATGGTAAATCTTCAATAACGAAGAATGCTATAAAGCAGATCTGTTTTGCAATAGTTAAGAACAGTAAGATGAAAAATTTACCGTTGGTCCATCAGTTTGCTTAAGGCTCTCTCTATGTTTCATCAAACTTTGCATGAAATTTAAGTGTCTTATAGTTTGTTGCAACAAACGATCAATGCTCATCTGTTACATCAGCCAATTGCTACATGAGTAAAAGTCAATGAAATCTGGCATCACTCCACAAAAGAACTCCAAATTAGTAAAATAACACTACTAATTTACTTACCTTTTCACCGTTAGGAATGAGTTGTCTCAATTCCACAAGACGGTCTTGGATCTGCTGACGATCTTTTGGCCTGGGGCGAGTTCCTGGTTTTGCCTTCTTCTTCACCATTTTTGCAGGTCCTTCATTACCTTTTAATGAATTATTCATGCTTCCGTTATCACCTATTAGTGAACCTTCTTTTGTGGAGGCTTCATGGTTGGGCTCAAGAAAACTTGTTTTATTGGGATCATATAATGGATTCAGTGACCTCATTCTCCCATCATGGCTAGGAAGACCTCGAAATTTCACTCGGTCAGAGCTCCAAGAATGATCGTCAATTTTCCTTCTTTTAGCAGTGGATGAAACTTGATCCTCAAATCTGGATCTGGCATATGAACAAGAGCTACTAGCAGTACCCCCCAAAAGATGAAGTCCTAATTTGGAGAACAAGCTGTTGGGGTTCCCGACTTTGGATCCAATGTGTTGCTCTGAGATACATTTCGAGTTATCCATGCTGAAGTCCAAACTTTCACCGTTCACAACTGGCATCAGAATTTCACTCCAATCCTCTGGCGTTTTAGACCCAGGTTCCATTCCAAAGCCATCACAGAGTCTGTCTATGCCAGACATGTCAGAACACCTCTTTTTTCCATTAGAGTTGAATGATTCTGTTATGGAACTTTGTATTGAATTTGTGGGAAGATTTTCCAAGACGTTGATAGCCGAGTTCGGTCCACAAAAACTGAGATGTGGAGTGAATCCGGGGGCAGTTGATTGGCCATTACTGGGTGTCGTAGCAAATGAGGTACTGCTTTCGTTTAGTAGAGGCGAAAACCACTGAGAGAACTCATCCAGTTTACAATCATTTGAGGGGAGCAACAGGGTACAATTCTGGTCATTCAATGGATCTTTGGACAAATGTTGGGTGTGCAATGAATTGAATGCTGATTTCCCATGATCATACAAACTTGAATTTCTGCAAGACTCATAACTGCTCGATTTTGAGAATGAAGCGTTCTCATTCTGTTCAGATGACAAATAATGCCAAGATGAAGTCACAACAGAATCTCCACTGTTGCTGCTTGGTGCTGGAGCTGTTGAGGAATCAAAGTAAGCAGCATTCTCTAAAAGCAACTGTTCTATTTCAATGTTCAATTTGCTTCCATTTTGAGTTTGGTTCTCGATTAGAGAAGATATAGAGGCTAAGGAGTTCATGCTCTGATAGCCCGAACTAGAAGGGACTGACTGGACAGGAATCACTGAAGAATAATTTGCATCCATCAAATCCTTGTAGCCCGCAAAATTTTCACAATCTAAAGATGAGGATTCATTCTCTGATAACACGATTAACTGATCTTTACTCATCCCTCTAAAATGTTCTTTGACTTGATCAACAAATTCCTTTCTCTCTGGGATCTGCAGTCAAGAATTTATATGTTACTAAGTGGAAAGCACCATCGGAATATCATATTTGCACGATTTTGGACTTGATCTGATAACTTCGTAGGTTATATTATAAGGGAAAAAAATCGCACATTTGGTACCAGTACTAACCTTCTCGGTAGATCCAAATTGCACCACACCAAATGGTTCCACTGAGATTACAGCTATTGTCTACAAAACATATATTCAAGTTAGTTACTTCCCATAACAAAACCTTGCAATTTGATGCAAAAGCCATATGTTTTCACAAGACAAACTGGCTTAGAGTGAAGGCAATAAATCAGGTACCTTTATACCAGTAGAGAACTGGCAATAGAATTCTGAATCATCCTGAGGAAATGACATTTGCAATTTCAAATTAGTGGACAGGAATTTTCAACTCTGCTGTTTTAGTACTAAGTTAAGTTTCTAAAATAAAACTTGAGCAGAACCTTCGCAACCTGCTAATAATTTATAAAGAAATGAAAATAAAAAAGAGAAAAAAATTGAAGAAATAGATAGTACCTGGAAAATCTCAGGATTCCCAATCAGTCCTAAAGAATTTTGCCTTTCATGATGGGCATCTGAGAATATCCATCTGTGGGATTTAGTGAATGCAGCTTGGCCAACTATCCTGTATAAGACAAATATATATCATTCTTAGCCCTGTCGAACGGATTAAGGATTAAGCCCCAATTCCTAAATACGGGAGCAAAAGTAGATGAAATGAAATTAGAAAAAATACACATACAAACACAGATTTATAGTGGTTCAACGAGATGGAACAATATTGTGGGCTTACCCTTCACCAAATACGTGCACTTGCAGAAGCATATTCTCAATCACATCTCCCATTTGTTCTTCATAGTATGAATCTTGAAATGTCAACAATCTGGTATGCCAAAAGATTTCAGGCCAAATGAACAAAATTTTTTAGTTTTATAATTTTTTTAACAAGATTTAATCATGAGAAAAGGTAGCTAAACAGAAAATGATGAATCCTTTTCTTAAAAACAACATAAACATTAATGCAAATATTTCCTACATAGGTAGAATAGAGCATAATAAAGAGAGAGAGAGAGAGAGAGGCTTACAAGAAATTTTTCGGATCAAAGCCCCAGAAAATCCCATAAGACCATCCATTACTGCAACAAAAACTTTTGAGGATCTTCCTTATCATTGAACTACCCTCTTCTGAACCCATTTTGTGGAAAAAAAAATATGAAAAGAAATCCAAGAAACAAGTTTGTTTTCCTTTTGTTGTCAACAAACAAGTTTTGAGATCACGAAACACACAAAAGTACAATTCTTTACTGGCTGTATTGTGTTGTACTAGGTGACGTGAAGAGATGTGTCTGTCTGAACCTAAAGGGCCAAAAGCTTGAAGAGGAGTTCTCAGTAAACACACAAAATCAGTAATGGGAAAAATATAATGCGGTTAAATAACAGGAAGACAAGAAAGATAACCAAGAGAATTTAGAGTGGATTTAATGTGTAGATATATATTTAACATAAAATATATATTGATGAGATTGGGTTGGTTTGGGTAGGGTGGGGGTGGGGGTGGGAGTGGGAACAAGAGGGGTTTGTTTTGTCTACGCAATGAAGGACCAAAATCAAATAAAAGTCCTATCTTGAAGGGAACAGAGCTTTTCCTCATTAATGCTTTAAATCCTTGTACTTTTCATCTGTCTTTATGCCTATGATATCTTTGTATAAAATTTTCAAAAAGGGTCCCATACTCCCATTTGTAATTTAGAGCATTCTCCAATATGCTCTCAATTAAAAGAATATATTCTATCGTTTAAAAAGTATTTATAAATATAGAGAGTTAAAATTTTGAAGTATTTCAACAAACTCTTTATAATTAACACTTAATTTTATTACTCACAAAAAAAATTATTATTTTTCTCTATCTTTTATTTTAAGTAGCTTTTCTTTATATTATTTTAGTATTTTTTTACATTAAAAATTGAAACACTTTGAATGCATTTAATTATTGAGAATAGATTTGGCTCTACAATTAAATTAAATTATTAATTTAAAGGGACTCTTGGAGCATGATTTTAAGGGTAGATTCTTTTAAGTAGAGAGTATCTTATATTTAAAGAGTTTTTTAAAGGTGTTCTTAGTATGAGATTAGACGAAAGAAAAAGAAATACGTCATATTATTATTATTATTATTATTATTATTATTATTATTATTATCCTTTTAATTTTTTTTCTTCTTCAAACATTTTGTGAAAAAAATACGATTTATGTGAAGACCAAGTAATAATATTAACAAGAAGAAGAATAAGTTTCTTAATTATTTCTAGGATATATCATTAACAACACAATAAAAAAATATAGAGTAATAATAATTTGCTTCTTAACTATTTCTATTATACAATTAAGTTGGGATGAATACTAGCTGAAAATATCAGTAAAGTAATTAATCACAATCATTTGCTTTAAAGAGTATTTATGCCTCTCAATAACAATTATAATAATAAATGATAAACTAATTTTTTTTTGCGTGGGTGGGTGGGGGGTGTTTATAAACAAATAATTTGGCTCTTAACTAATGGTTTATCTGATTGTCTGATTCTGTATTTTTTTTCGTTTATCTCACATTTTTAGTGTTGATGAATACTAGCTGAAAATATCAGTAAAGTAATTAATCACAATCATTTGCTTTAAAGAGTATTTATGCCTCTCAATAACAATTATAATAATAAATGATAAACTAATTTTTTTTTGCGTGGGTGGGTGGGGGGTGTTTATAAACAAATAATTTGGCTCTTAACTAATGGTTTATCTGATTGTCTGATTCTGTATTTTTTTTCGTTTATCTCACATTTTTAGTGTTGCGGTAAAATTCTCATAAGAAATGAGGACTTTGATCGACTCTAAACCTAATCTTATCCCATCTTTAAAATAGTATTGACAAAAAAAAGTAGATTAACATTGAATAATTTTTAAAGAGAACTATCTTAAAACATTTTTAGAGAGGTCAAAAAGTGTGGATTTATTTGTAAAACTAATGTTCTAAACCAACCCAACATGTAATTTGATGAAAACTATCCAATGTCACCAATCAATATGATGTCCCTTTAAAAAGTTTTCAACAGCAAGCCTGCAAAAATTTGAGTAGTGGCAAAAACATTATGGGAAATGTCATTTTCATCAATTATTACCATCTACAATTACCTCAAATATTTATAAATTAAACGGTCCTCTTTGTTTCCCCAACAGTCCACCCCTCAAGAACCTATGGCCCAATTACTTTTTTTGAATTACAGACCATATTTTAATGACATCACTAAACTGTTGAATATTAGATTACTTAGCACGAAAAAGTAGTTTTAGCGAATAGAGTAGAGTAGGTGGCGCTTGTGACAATTACTTTTTGATCTTAATGAACTTTGTAATAAAAAATCATTATTATGAAAATTTTGTTGATATATTATAGTAATTAATTTATTATATTTCTTAAATTCTTAGAGAATAATCGAAATTTAAGTCTTAGATAATTGGAATCTAAAAAATGTCATATCATATTAATACATGTTAAATGACATATTAATACACGTTAAATGATGAATATTGCTTTTGGTAATTTGGCATATCAAATATAATAAATTCAGTGGCGGATGTAGGTACTGGCCAGCTAGGGCAGCCGCCCTAGCTAGATTCGTCGGAACCCCTGACTGCCAAGAGCTCTCAAATTTCAGATTTCTTTGGATGTTGGCTGTTGGCTCACTGTTGCTATTTCAGATTTCGTGTTGGGTTTTTTTTTTTTTTTTTTTAATAAATCAGGCCCAAATTGAAAAAATCAGCATTCTACATAACGCATACGGCATAACCAGATTATTTCCCTAATTTCAGTCCATTGCCACCGAGTACAGCAAAGAGTAGAGGTAGTGGAGGCTCCACTCTCCAGCGACCAGCAGGCAGCAACGCTTTCCTTTCTCGAATCAATCCCATTTCCGATTTTCTTCCCGTCAAAATCGGTAGCCAGAGTCCAGAGAGAGCAAACCTTCGTGAGTTCTTACTTCTTCCCCCAATTCCTTCTCATTATTTACATGCAACTCTTGGAATTTGTCTAGTTAACCATACTTAATTTCGTTATCTGTTTTTTTATATCTTTCAAATGCTTTCCTTCTCTTTACTTGAAATAATTTTATATGGGTTGCTAGTTTAGACTTTCAGTAGTGGCTTGGCTTTATAGTAATAATCCATATAGGTGTTAATTTTGGTGTTAGCAAGTCTATGTGCTGTGCACTTACTGACTAGTGACCTACATCGATTCCTTGTTTGACATTGAGATTTTTCCCATCATTTTAGGTTGTTTGGGGCATTCATTATTTACAGGTTTTTTCCCCTCCAATTCCTTCTCCCAAATGTTTTCTGTTGAGCGGTTTAGAGATTTTCGATTTTATTGAATCATTGAATGAACCTGCTTGTTTGATGAATTGGTGGTTATCGTGGTTTAGAAATTGGTTTTACCTATTGTGGTTTAGAACCGACCGGATCCAGCTTTTACGACCGTTGATTGTCGACGGTCAAAATCAATCCTTGCCCTAGTTGAATATTGATGCTAGATTCGCCCTTGATAATAATAAAGTGTTATTTTATGAAATTAAAATTTTCATTTTCCACTTTCACAAGTTATAAAGTGACATTTTCATCAAAATTTTCTTAATTTGCTCTGTGGCCCCTAATTTATTTTTGACCTTGTTATCACTGAAAACTCATGTCAATATATTAGTAAAAATCAAATATTTAAATAAAATAAAAAGGAAAGAGCGTGAATCACACGTTTGAATAGCTAATTCGAGTTATTGTGGTGTGATTTTGTATTCCCAATCTATTTAATGGAAATTGTCTACGTAAACATTTAGCCCCCGTTTGATCCCCATTTTCTAGAAGTGAAAATTGGTGGAATTGTATTTTTTGAAAAATGAGTGATTGAAAAAGGAGGAAAATTTTTCGATTTACGTGTAATACTATTTTATTGAAGATTGTGTAGTTGAAAATACGATAAAAAAATGAAATGAAGCGTAATGTAATGAAATTTAATTGAGGCTAAACGGAAGCTTAAATTTCATGTGATTTAAAATTGAGATTAAAGTAATTTGACGATTTTACTTTTAACTCATTCGGAAGTCACATGTGATTATGCCATAAACAATTTAACACAACCTAAATTTATTTGAGTAGTGGCAAAAACATTATGGGAAATGTCATTTTCATCAATTATTACAATCTACAATTACCTCAAATATTTATAAATTAAACGGTCCTCTTTGTTTCCCCAACAGTTCACCCCTCAAGAACCTATGGCCCAATTACTTTTTTTGAATTACAGACCATATTTTAATGACATCACTAAACTGTTGAATATTAGATTACTTAGCACGAAAAAGTAGAGTTGGCAAATAGAGTAGAGTAGGTGGCGCTTGTGACAATTACTTTTTGATCTTAATAAACTTTGGAATAAAACATCATTATTATGAAGATTTTGTTGATATATTATAGAAATTAATTTATTATATTTCTTAAATTCTTAGAGAATAATCGAAATTTAAGTCTTAGATAATTGGAATCTAAAAAATATCATATCATATTAATACATGTTAAATGACATATTAATACACGTTAAATGATGAATATCCAATAATAAAGATGATTCCTTGCATTACTTTTGGTAATTTGGCATATCAAATATAAGAAATTCAGTAGCGAATGTAGGTACTGGCATTTGCAGGAACTGTCGATCGCCAAGAGCTCTCAGATTTCGTTGGATATTGGCTGTTGGCTCACTGTTGCTATTTCAGATTTTGTGTTGGGCCACATTTTTTTTATTTTTTCGCTAAATCAAGCCCAAATTGAAAAAGCCTAAATCAGCATTCTCCATTACACATACAACATAACTAGATTACTTCCCTAATTTCAGTCCACTACCGTCGAGTACAGCAAAGAGCAGAGGCAGTGGAGGCTCTACTCTCCGACGACCAGCAAGCAGCAATGCTTTTCTTTCTCGAATCAGTCCCATTTTCGATTTTCTTCTTGTCAAAATCGGTAGCTAGAGTCCAGAGAGAGCAAACGTGCATGAGTTCTTACTTCTTCCCCCAATTCCATCTCATTATTTACATGTAACTCTTGGAATTTGTCTAGTTAACCATACTTAATTTCGTTATCTGTTTTTTTATATCTTTCAAATGCTTTTCTTCTCTTTACTTGAAATAATTTTATATGGGTTGCTATTTCAGACTTTTAGTAGTGGCTTGGCTTTATAGTAATAATCCATATAGGTGTTAATTTTGGTGTTAGCAAGTCTGTGTACTGTGCACTTACTGACCAGTGACATACATCGATTCCTTGTTTGACATTGAGATTTTTTCCCATTATTTTAGGTTGTTTGCAGCATTCATTATTTACAGGTTTTTTCCCCTCCAATTCCTTCCCCCAAATGTTTTTTGTTGAGCGGTTTAGA